TCCGCGCCGTCCCCCGTCCGTGTCATGCCGCAGGCCGCTCCGTCGCAGCACACCTGTCCGGCCGTGTGCGGGTTTTTACGGAAGCAGCCGCGGTGGACGTTACACACGGCCGTCAAAACGCTGGCGTTTCCCCCGCGGAGACGCCGCGAGGGGGCGCTGGCCCCGGGCGGTGCGCGGATGCGGCTCCCACAGGCCGGTGTGCGGCCGCTGCCCTCCGGCAGCCCGCGGGGCTTTCCTCACCGAAGGCCGTTCCAGTGGCCGTGGCTGGGGCCTCGTGGTTTCTGCCCGGGACAGTCACAGTGACAGCGCCCAGAATCCCTGGACGCCCCGCCCCCAGGCTCCCACGTACGAATTACATTTTCCCTCCCTCTCCCCGTTCCGTCACTCCCTCTCTGCGCACAGACGCGGGTGTGCAAACGCATACATGCACACGTGCTCCTATGCACCGTGTACACGCATACACATGCATGCACGAGCATCTTCTAAACTGGCGCAGTGCAGGTTGCAGACGTGATGCCTTTTTACCGCTACGGACCCTGTGTGCCCCCCTCAGGCCGCCACAGCACGTGGTGAAAATCCGGAGGCGCGTGCCAGGACAGCGTTACCGTGTGACGTGCTGGCCGCGCTGAGGTTTTGTGAGTTGACCCAATAGTGTCCTTGGTCGTGCGAGAACCCAGGGGCACCGAGCTGCGGACTTGACGTGTGTGCTCAGTTCCTCTGGTCTCCACGCTTCCTGAGACTTTGTGTTTCGCGGCAACGTTCTTGAAAAGTACAGGCCGGTTTATCTGACGGCTTTGTCAGTTGCGGTTTGCCTGACGTTTCTCCTAATGACGTTCAGGTTACAGGCGTGTGGCGGGGACGGGTAGAAACCCAGCGTGCTGCCGAGTCCTCGCGGGTCCGCCTGGTCGCACGTGCTGTTCACTTAGTTGCCCGCATGGCAGCGTTCGCGCCAGCCCTGTGACGAGGGTGGCGCCCGCCAGACTTCAGCCTGCTCACCTTCCGTAGTTGGGAGTGTCCGTCTTGGAGACCTCGTTAATCCCTTTCACCCCCAGACTCTGGTCTGGTCCAGCGTTCGGTGCCAGTGTTTACTCTGGTGGTCGGTACATGGCACTGACTTGGTACCGGCGCAGATCCGTCGAGTCCGGCTTTCTTCAGCTTGGAACTGAGAGGGTCCCCGGCCCCCGGGAGCCGCTCCAGGCTGACTCCGCCGCCCCTTCACACCTTCCCTCAACCTTTGACCACGTCTGGTACAGAAAGGTTTTATGGGGTCAACGTACCCCCCGTGCCAGCCCCGGAGCTGGCCTTTTCTCCAGAAGCCCTCGTCCCTCCAGTGCGGGAAGGACCTTGGAAATCCCAGCTGCGCACTAAACAGGCACACGGATTCCCCGGCGCTCTCGTGCGAGCCCGTCCCGGAGGACAGGTGTGGCGCACAGGTGTGGCGCACAGGCGTGTGCCCTTCCGCACGGAGGCCGGGTGGGCTGCCTGCCCGGCCGGCTCACACGCACGCCGTCCGTGGCAGTCCGGACCCCCCCATGTGTATCTGCCGTCAGTGGTGTGAACCCCCCCCCCGTCACCCACAGCGTCCTGTTTGCTCGGTCTCAGCGCGTGCAAGGAGTTCACAACCGCAGTCCGTGGCTCCCTGGGGCAGAACCCTGCCGCCGGGGGTCAGTATTCCTTTAACCTGAGGCGTAAAATCTGAAGTTAGTTAGATTCCTTTTCCTTCCCCCTCGCTGTCTCGTGTGGTTATGTTTCTCGTTTGACATTCAGTTTGCGCAGTGGCGTCTGTTAGTGTTCGTTTTCAGGGCTTCCTTCGTCCTTACGGGTTTTGTGTCTTCCCTCCCCGCCTCCCTGTCTGCTCCGTGTGGAACGTGAGCGTGGCCCCCAGTTTGCCTCCACCAGAGGCGCCCGGAGCGTGTGGTCCCCCTACCCCCTCCGTGCCTCCCACCACACCCGCTCACGCCCACGTGGCCTTGCTAGTCTCTGATGATCTGGTCCCGCTTTTCTTTTGGTCCAAGTGATCAGGTGCAAGTATATCTTGTCACAAGTCCCTTCCCCTCTCGAGGGATAGTAAGCGCAGACTGTCCGTGTGCACCCGGCCCGTGGCATGGAGCTGCATCTGCGCACCCCCTGCCGGGGTTCAGAGAGGGGTGCGTGGAGAGCTTCACTCGTTCTTACGTCTTCGTAGGGCTCCCGTGTGAGGGCGCAGCACAGCTGACTCGGCCGCTCTCCTACATGGTCCCGCAGCTTCATTCCGTACTTTGCAGCTACCAGCGGTACAGCCTGTGTGGCCCGTGCCCGTGTGCCATGCAGGGGCCCCCTGCCCCCCGGGCCGTGTGCCGTGCGCCATGCAGGGGCCCCCTGCCCCCCGGGCCGTGTGCCGTGCGCCATGCGGGGCCCCCTGTCCCCCGGGCTGTGTGCCGTGCGCCATGCGGGGCCCCCTGTCCCCCGGGCCGTGCGCCGTGCCCCCTGCCCCCCCATGCCGCGCGCCGTGCCCCCCGGCCCCCCACGCCGTGCCCCCCGCCCCCCCACGCCGTGCCAGGCTGCATCTGTCACAGCCTCCCCATCAGCACGGCGTCCCCTTGCCCTCTCTCAGTCGGTTGCTGGTTCGGTGTGTTTTTAACTTGTGTTTTCATGAGATTGACCAACTTTTCATAAGTTAAAGGGCCATGTTTATATCTTTGTATAAATGATCTGCTCATGTTTTTTTCTCATTTTCTACTGAGTTTTGATCTTTCTTCACCTCTCTTTTAAACATGTCGTTATGTAGGGAGCTCTTTGTATTACAGGTATTTTTCTTCCAATTTTTCAGCCCTTGGGTTTTGGTTATGGGGTTGTAAAAAAAACTTTTTAATGCTTGTTTATTTTTGAGAGACAGAGTATGAGTGGGGGAGGGGCAGAGCAAGAGGGAGACACAGAATCGGAAGCAGCTCCAGGCTCTGAGCTGTCAGCATAGAGCCCGATGTGGGGCTCGAACCCACAAACCGTGAGAACATGACCTGAGCTGAAGTCAGTTGTTCAACCCACTGAGCTGCCCAGGCACCCCCACAGGGGGTTTATTTGAAAGTGACTTTCAGGGCACCTGGGCGGCTCACTCGGTTGACCATCTGACTTCGGCTCAGGTCATGATCTCATAGTTGGTGGGTTCGAGCCCCACATCGGGCTCTGTGCTGACAGCTCAGGGCCTGGAGCTGCTTCACATTCTGTGCCTCCCTCTCTCTCTGCCCCTCCCCTGCTCACGCTATCTCTCTCTCTCTCTCTCAGAAATAAATAAAAACATTAAAAAAGATTAAATAAGAATAAAAAGAAAGTGACTCTCTGTCAGGTGATCATATGTGTACACTTTGTTCCGAGAGCCCGAGGCCGTCCCCAGGTTAAAGGCATCGTGGCTCGTGCACAGACCCAGGCCCGTTTGCTGCCTGAGACCCACAGCGTGAAATCATTTGTTCCCCTTGACTCAGTGATCCCAGAACAGGTGTTTCACCCATAGGAAATGCTTTAAGATGACGGGAAAAAGTAAATCCATGGTGATATTAATGGAAGTGATGTTTCTATTGGGGGAAAAACTAGAACCGTGTAAATGTTTAATAGGGTTGTAGTGCGGTTAGCACCAAAAGGCCTTTCACGGGAGCTGGGAAGAGACAACCATGGAAAATAACGAAAGCGTTAGGCTACGGAAATGCCTATGTTCGTTAAGGGAAAGCAAAACAAAACTCATTTGTATCAGGATTAAAACTGACAAAAACTGAAGCCCGAGTAGGAGGGCGTGCGGGACCCCGGGGAGCAGGTGCGCTGTCAGCAGCGGGCGGCCGCGGCGCGGCCAGCAGGGGGCAGCGTGGCGTCACGGCGGCGTTAGGACCCGACGTTTGGAGAGGATGAGAGACGGGGTGAGGGGCTCACCGACCACCCTGCGGGGCTTCGCCTTTCAGAGGACGCCCCGTGTGCCGCGGGAAGGAGGGGGGCAGGGCCGCGGGGGGGACGCTGGGGGGCGTGGGGGGGCGGGGAAGCGCAGTGGCTGCTGCTGACTGTGCGGGAGAGGAGTGCGTCCTGGCACCGATGCTCGATGCTGATGCTCGGGTGGTGAGTGTAGGAACGCGCGGTGCGTTGTCCCGCGCTCCCGCCTTGATTTGCTTTTCTTTGTTGTTTTTTAAAGAACCAGCTACAGTTTAACAGGAACGTTCCCGCACATTCCAGCAACCTGGCCGCCCGCTACTCCTGCCCTGATGCGATCAGAATCGAGAAACTGACGCACTCGTACAGTGAGTCGCACCGCCGTGGAGACCTGGGCCTCGGAGCCGGTCCCGACGCGAGCGGCTCGGCCTCCTTCTCGGTCATCTCGGAGGAGAGGCTCAGCTACGCCGTCCACCTGGCCAGGAGGGACGTGAAGCGCAGGCAGCTGGGAGAGCACGTGAAACAGCAGCGTCTCAGAAGTGAGCCCCAGAGCCCTCAGAGGCGGGGGCGCCCCCAGCACGGGGCGCAGCGGAGGCAGGCCAGGAGCCGGGAAGCGTGTGGCCGCGGCCGCGAGTCGTGCCGGCGGGGCGCCTCCTGCTCGGGGGCCCCGGCGCCCCCGGCCACAGCCCACCCGGGATGGCCCCGCGCGGCCGCGCCGCCCTCGCCGCCCACCGCGGAGCCCGGGCCCCCGCTGCAGGCCGGGTCGGGCGGCCGGCTCGGCCTGCCGGGGGTGCGGCGGCTCCAGGAGGAGCTGGCCGCCTGCATCCGCAAAATGGAAGAGGTGACTCGGAAAGGTGAGAGGGACGCGGCCCCCACACTCCCTGAGGCCCCCGCCCCCCGCGTCCCCCCGGGTCTCCAGCACCAGCGCTCGTGGCAAGGCCCGCGGCCTTGACCGCCGTCTTCCTGCCTTGGGGGGCCGGCCGCAGGGTGTCCCCCCTCAGCCAGAAGCCCTTCTGGCAAAATCGTTCCTACTTTGTTGAACAAGGCGCAGGCCGTGTGCATATTTCCACAAAGCCAGTTGGGACGTGGCAGGGCGGGCCTGGGGCCACCGGGCACGGGGGAGGGCGCATGGCCGTCACAGACCGTTTCCGCAGCTGTTGAGCGGTCTGTGCCCCGCGTTTGCCCGGGGCGTGAGGGCGCGGGGCGAGGCGCGGTGCTGGCATGGCTTGGGTGACTGTGCACGTCTGTGCCCGCTCAGGAGGAGGTCAAGGTGCCTTTTACAAAACCAGCTGTGATTGGATACGATAGGACAGGCACATAAACAAGATTGTGGCCGGGAAAAATGACACTTGTTTCTGAGCTTCCAAGTGGCCAATTACGGGGGAAAGTGACGGTCGCAGAATCTACAGGGTCCGAGACAAAACACTGTTGTGTAGGGAAAAGAGTTACTGCCCGTCCTGGGCCAGGAGGGACTTCCTCCCGAGGTCTCTGTGAAGAGTGTGGCACCCAGAGTGGTACCTGAGCCCTGAGCCAGCGCAACTGTGGGCCGGGGACTCGGGGGGGGGGTGTGCTGCGGGGGGACAGAGCCTCAGGGTCCCGCTGCCATGAACACAGGCGCCTGGAGAGAACTCCCCAAGCCCAGGGCGACCAAGTCGGGTGTTGGCTTGTTTGTTTATTTTTCAGTTTAACGTTTCAGTTTGTCACAAGTCCATACCTTTTTTTTTTTTTAACGTTTATTCATTTTTGAGAGACAGAAAGAGTCAGAGAATGAGCGGGGGAGGAGCACAGAGAGAGAGAGGGAGACACAGAATCTGAAACCGCTCCAGGCTCTGAGCCATCAGCACAGAGCCCGACGTGGGGCTCGAACTCACAAACCCTGAGATCACGACCTGAGCCGACATTGGATGGTTAACTGACTGAGCCCCCCAGGCGCCCCTCTGCACCTTCTAAACTATAGTGACAGCATTACCACAAATGGGGCAAATAGCTATAAAAACCCACAGTGCGTGTGTCAGGCTCGTGCACTTGCTTGCACGCTGGGAGCAGTGTGCCCCAGGTGCGGGTACTGTCCGGACACTGGCTGCTTCTGTTACGCCCCCCACCCAGGCCTGACGCCGTCCCCCGCATCCACGGTGCCTGTGCCGCGAGCCCACACGACACCCCGGCCATCTGGCTTGCCGGCTCCCTGTCTGTATCTACAGCTCCCCGTTTCAGAGTTCTGTTTTTTTCAAAGCAAACATGTTTCGTCGTTTGACTTTTTAGTGAGTATTGTGTTGAATCCTTGACTATGTAAGCTACACTTTTGCACGAGGAAAGCGCTGCTGTCCTGCTTTGTGGGCTGGAATTTTGTGGAGGAGCTTGTTCTGGACGAACATATTTGGGAACCACTGTCTAGAGGAACTGACGCCTGCACGCTCCTCAGAATCTTCCAGAAGCAGAGTCTCTGAGCCCATGTTTTGAGAACGTGGAGCCCGGAGTACAAGGGCGCGCTCCCTGAGCAGCCCGTGGAGGCTGCGGACAGTCCAGCAGCCTGAGCGCTAGTGAAAAGATTTCTCTTTTGGATTCAAGATGAGACAACGTCAGATCCTGTCAAACATAAAACCGGGCCGATAGCGGACTTCTGAGGAGACAGGAAGCAGTACAGGCTTTGGCTCCACGTAAGGAATGTTAAGCGGTTTAAGCGGCGCTTCATGGTGGCGGTGACCGGCCGCCGGGGTCTGGGCGCCGTGCTCTCTGCGCAGAGGGGCTGCTTGGAGGCCTCCACGCCGCTCCCGTGTGTGAGCCCGTGTGTGAGGCACGCGGGTGAGGCCCGCACAGGCCCCCGTGGTCCTTGTTTCTTGGCTGGTGAGAAGGGTTTCATGGGAGCCCAGGTTTCTTTAAATAAAACGAGCGGCCTCCGACCTTGTCATCTCTTGGAAAAATCGAAACGTTTGTAAGTTTCCGCGTGGAGTGTAACGCACTTTCGGGGACGCGGTGTTTGCAGATGGACGGGACGAAGCCGTGGAGCCGGCCGAGGAGCAGCGGGCCCGCGTCAGGAGGCGGGAGCTCGGCGTGCGCTGCGCCCGGATGCTCTACTCTCTGCAGCAGCAGGTACGCAGGCCGGCCCCCTGGGGCGCGTGGACAAATGACTCTTCTCCTCGTCACCTGCCTTCTCGCGTGTTTGTGTATTGCGTGCGGACGGCCCGACTCGTTAGTGGTTTCAGACTCCAGTAAATGCCCGAGGCCTTTCCCGGAAAACAGTGCTTGCTCGGCACAGGTTTCTGTAGACATGGGGGGCAGTGGGGGCGGTCACCCCGAAGCCCCCGGTCCCAGCCCCGAGCCGCAGCGCGACAGGGAGTCTCGTGTCTGTGACCCGTTGCACGCGCAGTAACGGGAACACTGTGCTTGTCTCTACCCGGCAGTGAGGGCCAGGGGCCGGGCTGAGTTCTCGGGGCTCATTTCATGGCAGATAAGCAGACATTCACGTTCTTTATGCTGCAGCTAGGTGGTTTTCAAATGTCTGTCTTTGGTTTTTTTTTTGTAAATTGTTATTTTATTTATTTTTGAGAGAGAGAGCACAAGTGGGTGTGGGGGGAGGGGCAGAGAGAGAGGGAGACACAGAATCTGATGCAGCTCCAGGCTCCGAGCTGTCAGCACAGAGCCCGACGCGGGGCTCGAACCCACGAACCACGAGATCATGACCTGAGCTGGAGTCGGACGCTTAACTGACTGAGCCCCCCGGCGCCCCTTAGATGTCTGTTGTAACTTCAGTGCCTCACTTTTTAATCCACCTTTACCGCATTTCCGGTCACTAAAGTCACATGTTGGCTTTATTGCTTGAATCAGAAACTGAATGTTTTCATTTAAAGGAAATGCCTGACTCCGATTTTGTTCTGTATTCTCCTGGGGTTTGGCTTCAGTCCTCACCCCACACTGCCGCCGTACAGATCATTCTGGAACATGCGTCAGACCCTGTCGGAGCTTTCTGGGTCACAGGGTGAACCCCATGCTCTGGTGCAGCCCTCACCCCTTTCCAGGGCTGCCCCCGGAACGCTCCTTCACATTCCGCTCGCAGGGCGCTGGGGGCGGGGGTGGACGGTGAGCACTGCGCTCTGGTCACCACCTGGGGCTCGCAGCCGTGACGGCGCCTCGGGTGCGCGGGCAAAGCGCCTGTGTGAATTCCAGTGCCGTGATTTAAACAGCGGTCATGTTTGGACAAGACAAGCCGTGTCCTCTTCTACAGAAAAGATGTTTGAAAAGATAACTAAGTTCTTACTTTTCCCCTTTTATGAAACAGGTGAAAGAAATCCAGGAAGAATTGGATAAACTGAGTCCACATAAAATTAAACACACCGAGAAGGTAGGATGCAGTTCAGTTGTGGCCGACACTTTTGATTACAAATGCATTTCCGGTGTTTGGGGTGCTGTGGGGGGGCCCTTAGTGAGGGCTGAGCACCGTACGTATACCTGAACTTGGGGTCGGCTGCCAAGGAACAGACTCTGAAACCAGATTCTTTTTTAATAGCTTCTTTTTTTTTTTTTTTTTTAATGTTTCATTTATTTCTAGGAGAGAGAGAGAGAGACAGCGTGAGCAGGGGAGGGTCAGAGAGAGAGGGAGTCACAGACTGAAACAGGCTCCAGGCTCTGAGCTGACAGTCAGCACAGAGCCCGACGTGGGGCTCGAACCCACGAACCGCGAGATCATGACCTAAGCGAAAGTCGGACGCTTAACCAACTAAGCCCCCCAGGCGCCCCTGAAACCAGATTCTTGTCGCTGTGACAACAGGGGGCGCCTGGGGGGCTTAGTCGGTTGAGCGTCCGACTTCGGCTCAGGTCATGATCTCACGGTTCGTGGGTTTGAGCCCCACGTCGGGCTCTGTGCTAACAGCTCGGAGCCTGGAGCTGCTTCAGATTCTGTGTCTCCGTCTCTCTGACCCTCCCCTGCTCGCACTCTCTCTCTCTCTCTGACTCAAAAATAAATAAAAAACATTTAAAAAATTAAAAACAAAAAAGTGACAACGGGAAGGAAGAGACTGCCACGAGAAGAGGTTTCAACGTTGTAATTCCTTTACCGCGAGGCAGTTTCACGACAAGCGGTTGTCTGTAGAGGCTGGTGAGGGCGGGGAATGTTGAGAAGTTCTGAATTTCGAACTAACTTCCCATCTGTCCCCTCGCCAGTCGTGGGCGACGTCGCGGCTGGCGGCCGCCCACCGAGGCGCCGTGCGGGCCCTGCAGGTGTTTGTGAGCCAGCTCGCCGACCGCGGGGAGCAGCCCCTTCCTGCGCGGTGCAGGGAGCTGGGCGGCCTCCTTCGCCAGCTCTCCCTCTGCTCTGCCAAGCTGGACGCCGACCCCTCCGTGTCCGAGGCGGCCGTAGACACCCTGCGGCAGATCGAGGTAGGAGGTGGACCCGGTTCTGTTACAGGCACTCTGCGTCCCAGGGGAGGATGTGTGCCGTCGCCGGGCTCCGCCGGGATCCCCGGAGACGGCCGGACAGCTGCGCGTAGCGCTAACGCCCTGCGGGGGCCAGAGGAAGCCCTCCGTTCCTGTCTCATCTGTAATATGCTGCATTCACTTGTCTGGGAATGGCAGCTTGGCGGAGAACATGCAGCGACTGTTAACCAGAACGTTCCAGCCCCTGGCCATGGCCTCCAAGGAAGAACGTGCTAGCCCGGGGCAGGGGAGCGGCGTGGCGCTCTGTCCACGCGGGCGTGAGGCAGCAGCAGGCAGTCTAGGCAGATTTGGGGGAAGAAGAGACCCTTGTGTACGAGCGTATGGCCTCGGGGCTCCTGCTGTGGCTGGAAACTTCTGGAGGCCACGGCCGGCAGGTGCCAATCGGGACGGGGTCGGGCCCTGAGTTGTGGCCGGGGACGGTGCCTTAGTCCGCGTGGCCCTCTGAGGTTCGCCAGGCGCCACCGCAGAAGCCTGCCGTTCGTCCTGCCGTGGCCCGCGGGCCGCAGGCTTTTCGGAGTGCCACGTCCAGGTGGAAGAGGTCGCGGGGACGCCAGGGCGGTCTTACCCACGCGCGGAAGGCGAGCTCCGTGTTGGTGTGACCTGGGAGGGAGGGGGCGCTGGAGGGGGCTTCTGGGTGGCCGACTAGCCCGCTGATCCCTTAACCAGCCCTCGGCGGCCCGCGGGGCCCCTCCGCCCTGCCCGTTGCCGCAGCCGGCACGGCGTGTGTGGTTTGCAGGGGGCGCAGGTGTACGGAGAACTCGCTCCGGTGGTGCCGTCAGGCGCGGGCCTGCGGGCGGCCTGCTGGGCCACGGGCGCTTTGTGCCAGAACGTTTGCTGGCCCCGGTGACCGCTCGGAGGGTACGTCTGTATGATTTTGGGACGGCCTCCAGTGCTCTCCCTCGTCTTGAGCAGAAGCACCGTAACCGAATGTGGCTCAAACACGATGCCCACCGGCTCCGGCTTTGGGGTCTTCCTGGAGCGGGACATTCGTTCCGTCTTGTCGAGCAGCCACACGGCCACCGCCCCCCGGGGGACGGCTCCCTGCCCGTGCTCACCTGTCCTCAGTTTGTCCTGACCGGGCGGAGGCCAGGCCCTCCCTGCCCGGCGATGGGTGGGGGGCACTTAGTAGCGCGTCTCTTTTCGGAAGGGGGCACAGACGTCCTCCCTCGGGGTGGGTGAGTGACCGAGGCCGCTGGGCATGCGGAGTAGCTGATGGAGACACATGTTAACTATGGTTCGTTTGCACGCGGAAAGTACCCTGGGAGCGTATGAGATTCCTACTGAGAATTAAAATGCTTGTAAAGCATGTAGGATTATGTTCTGAAGACCAAGGTTAGTTGCTAAACGTGGCGATCCTTATTTTTAGGGTTTGGATGCCGTTAAAAGTAGTCACGTTCTTTACTTTTTTGCTGTTGGTTTTAGTGGACTAAACGTGTAAAAGAACATGCGGAAACCTTTAACTAATTACCTAGATGTCCTCAGTAAAAAGTTTTCAGATTAAGTTAAACGACAGTTCAGTGACCATCAGAGTTGGCTGTTTAATAACACATTTACCTGGAGTCCTCGTTCTCGATTTCGTGATGCACGGTCGGACTTTTGTGGGATCTGCTAAGAGAACCCTGATTTTGTGGCAGGCTTTGGAATTCCTCCTGGAAAAGAAACTGTCACCAAGAAAGGCGAAGAAATGCTTCTCGGAAGTTCGGAGCAGGCTTCCTGTTGGTGGCCACAGGGCCTTAGAGAGATGGCAGAGTCCTTCGCCAAAGAGTGAGAGGAGACCCTTCGTAGCAAAGGAGGTATTTCCACAGGAAACCAGACTACCTTCCGAGGCAAACAAGCTTCTTGCTGGTACGTGTCCTGAAGCGTTTATGCGTGTCGGGTCCCCAGCAGGCGCGCTTGAACCCCAGAAGCAGGGAGTAACGCAACCTCGTCTGTGGGTGGGAAGCTGGAGGGCCCCGTGTGGAGGGAGGGGGCCCCGTGGAGGGAGGGTCCCCTGTGCAGGGAGAGATGATGATCTGACCAAATCAAGAGTAGATTGCTTAACTGACTGAGCCACCCAGGCACACCTTAATTTTAAAAATTTTTTAAATTACCATATCGGTAAGTTCCATTACCGATGTGGGGCTTGAATTCAACACCCTGAGATCAAGAGTCATATGCTCCACGGACTGAGCCAGCCAGGAGCGCTCCCCTCTTTTTAAATTTAAGTGAAATTTATTTATTTATCTATTTATTTTGAAAAACAGAGCGAACAGGGGAGAGGCAGAAAGAGAAAGAGAGAGAGAAAGAGAGAATCCCAAGGAGGCTCTATGCCAACAGCCTGGGGCTCGAACTCTCAAACGGTGAGATCTTGACCTGAGCCGAAATTGAGAGTCAGGTGCTTAACTGACCAAGCCATCCAGGCGCCCTAAATGTAGATGGTTTTATTTCCTTTCTCATCACAAGTTGAATGTCGCATGAAGTTGAGACTTGATTCTGTATCAAATTAGGAGCCAGTGAAGGTTTTAAGAGGTGACAGTTAGTTACATTTTAGCAAAACCACGTTTGGTGGCCAGGTGGGGCAGTGCCAGGAGCCGCCTGTACTATAGTCAGGGGAAGGAGAGCACGTGGGAGCGGAGCCTCGGCCTCTCCGTCCGGGTCCACGCGGGAGTCACAGGGCGGCGAGTGACCTTGGGGCTTCCGGGCCGGAGGCCTGGAGCTCACGTGTGGGGACACTCGCTCGTTACCGACTTGACTTGAGTAGCACATCCTTTGTCCTTCTGAAATGTCCCTACAGATAAGTGCCAGCCTGGCGCAGCGCCTGCAGCGACCCAGAGGTCCGGGAACGGGCTCGGTGTGAGGGACGCAGACATCCTTCCGGAGGGAGCCCCGCCGGCTCCAGACCACAGCGCCAGCGTCCCCGCAGAGCCCGGGGCCGTGGCCGTGGCGAGAGCGGGAGCGGCGGCCGGGAGGCCTGGGGCTGGGAGCGCGGTGCCCAGGAAGAAGGAGGCGCCGGCGGGGCTGCAGCAGGTACAAGCGCTCCTTCCCGAGGCTGCGCGGCCAAGGTCACGGCCACTGGCTGGTTGTTGGTGCCGCCAGAGCCCCTGAGCCGCTGTCCAGGCTGAGCTGACTCAGCTCGGCTCCCGGTAGTTTTTGTTTATTTTTTTAACAAAAAAACAACCGTTTTTAATAGTGTGACGCCCAGACGTCCTCCCCCGTCCTGTTTGGTGAGATCTGCACTAATCTGATTCCGAGGTCCTCACTGGGGAGGTTCCTTTGAAGTTCAGGGCTTTTTGCTGCTGCTTGGGAAGGGGTGAGATTGGCAGGGATTGGGGTCTGGTTCCCGCTGAAGATAAACGTCGACAAATACTGATCACTCGGCACGAAACGGTGTCACAGGGTCAGGGCTTCCTGTCAGGACTCTGGGGGCAGCTGACTTGAAGCTACGTCACAGTTTAAGCCTCTGTTTATGGCGCAGCTGGACTGGCGAGCTGGCCCGAGGACCGCCCGCGCGCGGGTTCCACAGCCACCCCCAGCGTGTCAGGTGGCCCTGGTGACGGACAGGTCCGGGCTTGGAGCAGGGCTCCTTCCTTCCCGCACAGGCGGGGGCGGGGGCGTCACTGGGAGGTCGGGACCCAGCCTGTCGAGGGCAGCCAGCGCTTTTCCCTAGAGACGCCTCCTCCTCCTCCTGCGGAAGCCCGTCCAGCCTTCTGGAAACACGGGACGAGGTCTGCTCCTGTTTTACAGATGAGACACCAAAGACTCAGAGATGTTAGGGTCCTCACCAAGGAAATCATGCAGATGAGCTCTGCTTCGTGTTTGTTTAATTGGAGAAAAGCATCAAAATAAATATTATATACACACACACATATACAGACCTGTATATTATACACATATACATATGTGTATGTCACACACACATAACACATGCACACACATGTTTACTGTACAGCACACATACACAGAAGACACACATACATGCATGTGGACATATATGCACATCACATACATATGTACACGTGTACACACACGCATGTACACGTATGCACGTCTATTATACACAAGCGTACACAGACATAGGTACCTATAGGTATGTTATACATAATGCATATGTGCACGTATGCACGTACACCCACACACACATGTACATACATATACACATGTCATGCACATATATTATACATGCATTCGCACATACATGACATGTATGTACACACGTGTGTACACGTGAGTATACGCACATGTGTACATGTATATTATACATGCACACACACAAAGGTGGCAAATCCAGGGACTCCATCTGAACCCCCCCCACCCAGGGGACGAGGGTTCAGTGTGATGTACACCTGCCCCCAAATTTGCCCCAGCGCTCTCCACGCGGGAACACCCGAAGTCTTAGTAAGCCAGAGGTTAAAACGAGTCTTTTTGGTCCCCACGTGGCTTTAAGGTTCGTGTTTCCCTCTTACAGGGACCCCACAGAGCTGAGAAGGGCCGGCCGCCCCCACCCCGGGGCAGAAGCCGCGTGCAGCGCCCGACCGTGTCGTCCAGACTGAAGAGGAGCCAGCAGCCCATGAAGGCCCCCTGGCAGCCTCCACACCCCACGTCCCCGCCCACGTCCCCCAAGTGGTACGTGACCGCGCTCTCCCCCTGCAGGTCAGAGGTGACCTAGCGCATAGAGCTGCTGGAGCAGCAGCCGGCTCCCGTTTCGGAGACACGCTCACCTGGGCGAGAAACTCGGGCGGAGGTTTGGTCTGGAGGCCCGTTGGTTCCTCTCCCCTCCCTGGCCGTGGGAGCGTGGCCGCCGTGGGCGTGCGGTCCCCTGTGGGGTCTCTACGCGGTGACCTGAGGCCGGGAGCCACGCGCCTCTCACCGCTGAGTGTCGGTGGCTGGTGCAGGGCCTGACTCCTCATGGTTCTCGGTGGGTCAGTAAGTGTCTGCTGAGTGAATGAATATTTTAAAATAATTCTAATTCCAAGACAAGATGCTGAATCCTAACAGCGTACGGATCTCACTGATGCAGGGGACGTGAGGGTCATGTGGATGTTACCACCGTCCCCTCGTCCACTGCGCGTGGGGATGAGGCGGCATTGCAGAGCTGGGGGCAGGCGGGTCCTCCGGGGCAGCGGGTCTGGTCAGGTGGAAATAGTCCCTGGGGGATTGTTCAGCATAAAGGGTGCTTGTTTACCATGGGACGGAAGTTGCTGGAAGCATGGTGGAGCAGGGGCGTGGGGAGGAGGGCCCACCTTTCCGGAGGCTGACTGGGCAGGGAAGAGGCCTGGCGGTCCGGGCTCGCCACGCCATGGGACTCCAAGGGTGCCATGTGAGTGACAGGCGTGCCCACCCGCCCCCCATTTTCAAGCTGAAGCGGCAGCGTCCAGACAGTCCCTCCCGTGGCGGGGCGGCCTCTCGGTGCCACCGTGGGCTCTGCCGTCTTCATCCCTCGGCTCCGAGTTGCGTACTTGGCGTCTGTGTTGGCATAAAGCCGGGAATTCAGTTGGAAGCTCACAGAACGTCGGCCGGTGGGAGTTCAGGCCGCAGACCCCAGAGACCGGGCTGTGTTCGGGGTGCAGCTGGAGGGCGGGGTGGGCCGGCGGGTCGCCGTGCCGGGTCCGACCGCGGGAGGCCGGGGAAGAAATCGTGTCGTGTTAGGTCTGGGTGACAACGGCTTTGTGGGCGTTCAGCCCTCACTCTTTTCCACCTGACCCTGCGCTGGGGTGCGTGTGGCCGAGGAAACCGTCTCCGGGGACCCTGAGCCTGGACCCGGGGGAGCTTGGGTCCGGGGGCAGGGGTGTGGAGAGAGGGTCCGCAGCGTGTGATCTCCACGTTTCACAGTGCCGCCTGGCCGACGGGGAGGCCCAGGGACGCCACCAAAGAGAAGTGTGTCCGGCGGGAAGAGGCTCCGGAGGACGGGCTGCTGGGAGGCGCCGTCGCGCGCGAGGCAGCGAGGTTCGTGCCGCTGGCTGTCCGGCCTCTGAGTGAGCTCTTCTCCCGCGTGTCTGTAACCCCAGCTTCGCTGTCCAATGCTTGGCGAGCCCCCTGTCGTGCCTTCTTTCATCCACTCGGACGTCGTGTGTGCGCCAGCTGTCCGCCACTTCCTTGTTCGGTCTGGTGCCGCGGACGGCTCTGCGGATGCTTCTAGAACGGGGAAAAACAATTCCAGCCCCGAGACGTACAGTCACGCGAAGGGCAGGTCAGGGCTGTGGTCTGAGGCAGGTGAGGGCTGGAGGGGCCCGGCCGCGCCCTGCTGCAAAGGCCTGGGCGTCGTGGACCCGGGGACAGACTCGCGTGGGAGTGAGGTGAGAACATTCTGGAGGGGCAGTGACGACGAGGCTCTGCGTTTGTGTGGCCGAGATTGTTCCTGCGTTATGGGAAAGCAGAAATGAACGTGGGCCGTTAAGTACGTGGATGCTGCTCACACACCCCGACTGGCAGGTTCAAAGCCCTTCTGCGCCCCCCCACCCCCCAAGCTGTTCGGGGTTCGCTCTTTCGGTTTCATGTGACTCGGCTTTGCTGGAGTGGGGGGCCCCTCTGTCTGAACAGACACAGCAGCAGGGTCACTTTGTGGTTGGACAGGAAATCCCTAGCGGCGGGGGGGCTGGGGTGCCGTCCACGCCGGCCGCCGTGTGGAGCACCGTGCTGGGAGCTCCAGCAGTAGGGGCGTCGCTGCCGAGAGCCTGTCCGTGGCGATGGCGGCCCGCAGCCCTCACTCTGTTTATGTTCTCAGACTCGCTTGGCTTGACGCCGAAGCTCACAAAACACTGAAGGAGCTGGAAGAACTGAGAGCTGCGGGCGCGGACAGCGCGCACAGGCAGAGGTGAGCGCGTCTCCGCGGAAAGCCGCGGCCCGGCCCGCCCCCTCTAGCGGCCGTCGGGGTGCTCCCCACGTGGGCGGCGTCGATGGGCTGTCTGTGCCTGAGACGTCCCCCCGCCCCCGGGCCGGGGACCATTCGGGGGGCCTTCCGCCCCGTCCACTGGGCTCGCTCGGCTCCGTGCAGTAGGACCGAATGTGTGGCCGAACCCCAGGCCGCGGGAACGGGCAGTGCTCGCTCCTGAGGGGCCGTGGGCACTGGCCGGCCGTGGCTGGTCTGATGGCTGCACCCCCAGACCCCGTGACCTCGTGCGGGGTTTTGCTCAGAAGTATTTCTCGTGTGGAGTTTGCTACTGAGCAACGGTGGCAGTTCGGGGGAGCTGCCGAGGGGTCCCCGCGTCCTTCTGGGTGGCCCCCCTGAGCCCACTCTCGGCGGGGGGAGGTTGATGCACGTGTCCGGCCCGCGTGGCGACTGTGCAGGTACGTCGCCCCGGCGTCAACCCTAGCGCAGAGCTGCTGCCCAAGCGGGTTCTTGATGCTCGTAGAGGAGGTTGGTGCTCCGACGCGGTGCTGGGGCCTCGCCCTGAGGTCAGCCGAGCGGGATTCTGTCACCGCCCAGGACGGATGCTCGTCCCTCCTGCTCGTGAGAGACCCCCGTCTGGAGGGAAGCCACGTGGCCTTAGGGTTGGAAGGTCTCATCGTCTTGCTGATGCTCCCAGGCCCTGCGGCCTTGCGTCCGTACGCAGTCTCTGCAGTGGGACTGTCCCGTCCCCGCTGGGCGGTGCCCCGGGACCCCTACCCACTGTCCCCCAGCCAGATGGCAAGCCCGCCGTGCCCGCTTGGCCCTCGAGCGGTCACACATGGTGAATGCACAGACAGCGCCTGCGGCCGGGAACAGGCTGTCACGGACTGTCTGCACGCGCCTCCCTCAGCCACCCCCTCCTCCCCCAGAGCGAATGCCGTCTCCACCTCGTTCATCTTTCATCGCCTCCACCTGGACATCTGTCCCTATGGACGTATCCCTGATGGACGCTGTGTGGTCCTGAGAACTGAGAAGCCAGTGCAGACCAGGGGCAGGGCTGCTGGTGTGAGATGGGGCAGGCGTCCGGCTCCCGTCACACCTGCACCGCCCTGGGCCTGCATCCCAGGAGGTCAGGGGCCAGGTCAGGGGCCAGGTCAGCGGGGGAGGTCAGGGGCCAGGTCATGGGCCAGGTCGGCCGGGGAGGTCAGGGGCCAGGTCAGGGGCCAGGTCAGCAGGGGAGGTCAGGAGCCAGGTCAGGGGCCAGGTCAGGGGCCAGGTCAGCGGGGGAGGTCAGGGGCGAGGTCATGGGCCAGGTCAGGGGCCGGGTCAGGAGCCAGGTCAGGGGCCAGGTCAGGGGCCAGGTCAGCGGGGGAGGTCAGGGGCCAGGTCATGGGCCAGGTCAGCGGGGGAGGTCAGGGGCCAGGTCAGCGGGGGAGGTTGGGGGAGGTCAGGGGCCAGGTCAGCGGGGGAGGTTGGGGGAGGTCAGGGGCGAGGTCAGGGGCAAGTCCCTGTTCTCTGGGTGTGAGCTCCTTGTCAGGCAGCTGGGGCTCTGTGGTAAGTGTGCTTCCTAATGGTGTCTTGATGAGGAAGAAGTTTCAAGTTTTGGTTAAGACCAATTTCTCAATTTTTTATTTTTCACTTAGTCTTATTCAGTGTCTGGTCTTAGGAATCCTCCCTCATGCCAGAGCCCCAAAGGTGTTCCACGCCTGCCTCTGGCTGCTCTGCAGTCTGAGCCACGTTTTCGCATCCGTGGCCCACTCTGACCAAGTGAGATGCAGCGCTGCTCACAGCGCACTGGCTTCCGCGTGGAGACCTGCCGTCCAGGCGCCACCCGGGCCTAGCTTCACTCTGGGGCCTTTCGGCGGACCACCCGAGAGGGACCCTCATGTCGGTCTTTAGGCCTTCCCTGGGGGCGGGTCAGAGGTCAGAGTGTGCAGAGAAGACCCCAGAGGGTGAGACCTGGTGTCCCAGGGGCGGCCAGCCTGCCTGGGGGGCCTCCTCTCTCTGGGAGGGCGCCTGCCCCTCTGCCCTGTCTCGTGTCCGTTCGTGCAGAGGAGGGGCCCCCAGACTTCCCGAGGCGGAGCTGGGCGGGCGTGAGTTGTGCCGGGCAGGGAAGGGCCCCCGGATCCTCCTCTCAGCCAGCCTGGGCTCTCGCCACCCCGCAGCCCCTCCCCCCCCCGTGCCCGTCCCGCCAGCCCTGCACCCGTGGGGCCAGCGGGGTGCATGTGGGTCGCGTGCTCTTGGCTGTCTCGACCTAGCTCGGCTGCCTATCCCTTCTGTCCCGTTTTCCATTTTCCCCTTGCTTGGGGTTCACGTCCAACTCCATGGTCGCGGAGTCTGGAGATGGAGCAAGATGAGTTAGATTTGTCCGGGCTTCTGTCCTCTTCGGTTGTTTAAAGGCAGCCGTCACTCTTTGAAACCGTAGTGAGAGCCCAACATGTGTGTTTAGATGTGAAGACGTGTCCTCAGCGGGTCCGGGGCCAGCAGGGTCGCATCTCCTGGGAGCTTGTTGGAAATGCCGAGTCTCGGGCCTCACACCACCGGCACGTGCATCTGCATTTTACCAAGATCCCGGGGACTTTGCGGGGCCCTTATGACTGGGGGAGCGCGTCGGTCTTATAATCATCTCATTTCCCTCCACCTGGGGTAGTACGTCAATGTACAAAATAAGATATTTTCTTGCTTTTGATTTTAACTTTTGATTTTATTTCCACACAGTGACTGTGCCGCCCAGTTAGCAGACAAGGTAGAGAAAGCAGTTCTGGGGCGTCTGAAGCCTCTCCTGGTCAAGGCCCAGGTAATCCAGCTCATCTTGTTGGCTTGTGCTTGGAATGTTCTGGAATAAAAGGAGGTCCCTTCGGAGGCCACACTGACCTCTGTGGGGCCTCGGGTCGGCTCGGCGGTGGGGGCTGCGGGGGCTGCGGATCCGCGCGGTGCGTGTGTGGATGTGCACGGGCCGCCTCCGCCGCTGAGGGTCCTCGGTGTGTGTGAGGGACGGACAAGGGGAAGGCAGAGTCCCGCTTCTGAGAAAGGGGGCTTGTAGTTTGGGGAGTGAGCTCAGGTGGCAGTTTCCATTCTTGATCCGGTAGATCCGTTGGTGACTCTGGTGTTGTGTCCTGGGCGCTCTCGCCTCAGTGGTTTGGGACGATCGGCCGTTTCCCCAGAGAGGGGTGCTGGGACCGGGTCCATATGCACGCCGCCCTCTCCCTTAGGAGGAGCTGGCCCGCGGCGTCAGCAGCAGGTGCGCCCCGGGCCTCAGATCCGCCGGCCCCGGAAGCGGTGTCGTCCGCGTGAGCAGACGAGCCCGCAGGCACGTTGTGATCTCACGCGCGGGACGAATGGTGCCGTGGGTCCCTGAACCGGCCCCCGAAGTCCTGTTTCTCTGGTGTAAGAAATGCGTGATTGTTACTAGTGTCCCCAGAAATCTCCGGGGTACAGAGCTGGGAATGCTCTTAACGACCCCGTCGTCTCATGTTCCCATTTCATCGCTGGGGAGACCAGAGCAGAGACGTGTTTCCAAAGTTGAGGGAAGACCAGGGACAGAGGACAAGGATCCACACGTGGTATTTATTTGTACGAGGACACAGCGCCCAGAATCGCAGGTCCACGCAGAAGCTCCCGGAACAGCTCACGGCCGCGGGCTGCAGGCTGGTATGATTCACGATGTGCTTGTCCGTTTTCACAGAGAGTCAACTCCTCTCTGGAAGCGGATATGCCGAGGGACCGGCCGCCAGCACACCCGGCGACAGCGCCGCCTGCACACGAGGTATGTACGGTGGGGGCGGTAGCGCACTGGCGGATCCTACTCGGGATGTCGGTTTTCCTGTGTCTTGTCAGGCCCCCCGCGGCCCTGTCCCCTCCTGGGGACAACAGGTGGGTGCGGCGCACGGCTCAGGGCTGGCTGCCTCCTGCCCTTCCCTCCGGCCCAGCTCTGCCCAGGAGGGGCCTGGCCTCCTCCGAGCGAAGGGCCCGGCGCGCAGTGCCCGGCGAGCGTGTGTTGAGCGCCCGATAGTGACCAGGGCTTGGCCTAGCTCGGGGAAGAGCTGGCCGGGGACAGTGGTGACATGGGGGAAGTTGAAAGTCACCTCCGGAGGACGTGTGCCCAGCGTTTGTGGGAGCGCTCCTGCCCCGCCTGGGCTCAGGCCGTCGGCTGGGAGCCGCAGGCTGGGCCGCCGAGTCTGCGTGGCCTTGGCGTTGGCCCGCAGCCCCTGCCGTGCGTGCTCGGAGCGGGTGTGCGGGTTCCGGCTTGGAAGGGGGAGCACGCCAGCGCAGGGTGCCGGGGTCCAGGGGAAGGCAGATGCGGAGCGGGCATCCCTGCTCTGGGGACCGGGTGCGGGCCTTGCTGCCGGGTCTTCGCCACTGTCCTTTTACTGCCCCAGCATTTGGTGACAGGCGTGTGAGGTGAATCCGCGCTGACTGGAAGCGGAAAGCCTGCGTTTAGCTCGTGCCCGCCGGGCGTGCCTTGTGCAGCATGGCCTCCACGTGACGCGTCCTTCCCTGCAGAGCATCTAACCTGGGAGGCGTCCCGAGTGACCCTCCGTGCTGCCAGCAAAGTCCGTGTGTGGGAGGTGTGCCGGCCTTGCACTTGAGAGTCGCTCCATAGGTGCGACATCCGTGCCAAGTGCGTCAGTTTGTGCTCGGGGTTAGACGGCGCCACGCGGACCGTCCCACGCGGCACCCGGGAGTCTGTGTGTAAATAACGGGATAGAACAGGCGGGAAACCTCATCGAAGTTGGCGTGACAATGTAGGAAGTCTTGTTTCCTGTGTTAGCTTGTGAAATCCTGTGAGTCCTTTGACACCAGTGTCAGCAGTCACGTCCTAGAACGGAGAAGACCTTTGCACACCTCGCGAGAGAAATACAACTCTCGGTGGGTCTCTGGTGGACAGCCGCCTCGGACACCAGGCAAGAGCTCGTGGAGGCACCACCGTAGCGCGTCTGTCTGGCGCTGCCTCTCTGGTCATCCCCTGAGCACGTGGAGTGGGTCTTTCCAGAATGCATGATTTTTTTAAATTAAAAGTTAGATATGTACATGCCTAGGAATTCATACGCTTCAGCAGGAGTTTAAGAAGTCAAACCATCCAGCTGACAAAAACCGTACACTGTTTGGTGCCCAGCTTCTTTATGTTTGGTGTTGCCTGGACGTCATGCACAGACAACTTCTCATCATTTTTAAGGGCAGGCAGTATTCTTTTTAAAAAAATTTTTTTGTTTTAATGTTTGTTTATTTTTGGGAGAGAGACAGAGCACGAGCAGGGGAGGGTCAGAGAGAGAGGGAGACACAGAATCGGAAGCAGCTCCAGGCTCCGAGCCGTCAGCACAGAGCCCGACGCGGGACTGAACCCACGAACGGTGCGATCATGACCTGAGCCGGAGTCGAGTCGCACACTTAGCCCCCAGAGCCCCCCAGGCACCCCCGGCACACACGTTCCTTACAGATGTGCAGTGCTACACGTGCAAATACTCACGTCTCCATTAACCAGACCTGTGCTCCTGGGTTAGTTTTCTGTGGAGTCTTTGTAATTTTATTGTATTGATTATACAGCTGATTGTTACATAATTTTAAGGTTGGGGATTTCCTTATGTCCTTATTGGCCATTGATACAGTTTTTTCCCGTCGTCTGTTGAAGGTTTTCAGATCGCCCCGAGGGGAACTGTTCCCCGTGTGCCCCCGTGTGCGCGTGTGCGCCCGACCCTGCCAGCTGAGGCAGGACCCGTGGTTCCGCGTGGTGGGCGAGGGCGAGAGGGAGGGCAGCCGTGTCCTCCGGGCAGGGCCCGTCCAGGGCCCGATGCCGTCACTTCCGGCAGACGTTCATGTTCCTAGTCGCACGTGAGAGTCAGGGCCGCGCACGCAGCGGGTCTCCGCGTACTGGGGCGCGCACGCAGCGGGTCTCCGCGTACTGGGGCGCGCACGCAGCGGGTCTCCGCGTACTGGGGCGCGCACGCAGCGGGTCTCCGCGTACAGGGGCGCGCACGCAGCGGCGCTCTGCTCACTCGGGCGCGCACGCAGGGCGGTGCTCCGCGTACGGGGACGCGCACGCAGGGCGGGAGGCTCAGGGCGAGCTGTCCGCAGGACGCAGGCTGGGGACCCGGTGGCGTCGCTAACAGACCTGTGACGGGCGTCGAGCCGGAGGGCCCGTGTGAGGCTGGGCTCTGGGACGGGACGCGCGAGACGCCGCGCGTGGCTGGCGTGAGAGGAAGTGGCTGCTTTCCCGACCGCAGGGCCGGCGACCCCGATCTTGTCGCCGGCAGCGAGCGCGGGGCCGGGACGGCTTCGGGCGCGAGGCCGCGGGAGGGGCCGTGTCCCTGCGGCCCGGCTCTCATCGCGCCCGCGCCCCCCTTTGCTTCGTAGGAAGGCGCCGCGGCGCGCCGCGCGGCCCCGGAGTCGGAGGCCCCGGAGTCGGAGGCCGCGGCCCCTGCGGCGGGCGGCAGGGACAGCGCGTGTCTGGAGGCCATGATGCTGCGCATGGAGGAGATGGAGGTGAGGCGGGGGCCGCGTGTCAGCGCCCCCCCGACAGAGAAGGCGGCAAGTGAGGGGACCGGGGCACGGAGCCTGCGCCCGCCGGACCCCGGCACGGGCCCCCGCAGGTCGCGCCGGCTCTCCTTCCCCCGCCCGGGGGCGTCCTCGGCCGGGCCGGCGCGGAGCAGGGAGCCCGAGGGCTGTGTGCGGGCTCGGCGCCCCCCGGCCCCGGCCCCGGCCCCCCGGAAGCTGGGGGAGGCCCATCTGTAGATTGTGGTTCCCCAACCGTGTAGCTGACTCCCCTTCCCGGGGGTGCCGCGGGCGCTCTGGTGCTCTGCGCGGGCGTCTGCAGCCTCGCGTGGAGCCGACTCACGCCGACGGAGGGCCCGGGACGCAGCTGCCCGCGTTTCGGGGCTCAGGGGTTCGCGCGGTCGGAGGGCGCCCCCACCCGCGGGGGTGTCGCGGGCAGTGCCGGGCTCCGCCCAGTCCGGGGAACGCGGCCCTCCCTGAATTCAGACCCTGACTCGGGACCTCGACGCCTTCCTGGCCGGGCCGTTGCCCTTTTCTGGCCACGTGTCTGTACCAGCGGGGTCCACTGAACCCCAACACGTGCTTGGAAGGAAACTCCTCTTCTCTCGTACATTATGCTTTTTTTTTTTTTTTTTTTTTTTAAAGAAATACCAGGAGACCGTTCGCCAAAGATACAATGAAATTGTATACGCGGATCCTCGTGTTTGGACGCAGGAAGGCAGAGCTGGTGAGGCCCCCCACGTCGTGTTCTGAACAGTTTCGAACACACGGGAAGGTTGCGAAGGTTTGGCCGCGCACCTTCTAGGCGCCGCTCGTCCCCGTGTGTCTGCTCTTCCTCCGGCCGCGGCCGGCGGGCTGGTTTTGGATGCAGTTCGGGGAAGGTCCCGGCCGCGCGCGGCGGGCCGTTGTGGCTTGTGTCAGCAGCTCGGGTTTCATGTTTCTTCATGGCCTTTTTTCCTTTTGAGATAAAATTTACATGTAATAAAAAGCGCAGCCCATAACCGTGTCATTGATTGGGTTTTAACAAATGGATACACCTTTGATACCCAGACTCCTGTCAAAATTCGGACCAGAGTCACCTCCGAAGGGTCCCTGTGCTCTTCCCGCACCCCCCACCCCAGGGCCCGGTGTGCTGCTTGCGCTGCAGGCTAGGTTGTCTGTTCTAGAATTTTCACAAACAAGTGATGCTGTGTGTGTGTGTCTGTGTGCACACGCTCTTGTCCATGGGGGATTCCGTGTGAACGTGCTCATGTCCACGGGGGGGGGGGGCGCGTGTCCCGTGTGCGCATGCTCTTTTCCACAGGGACCCCGTGGGCCGTGAGTATACTCACGGTGGGTAGTGTTTGCACGGACCTAAGTTGTGCTGCTTTTGGGGAAACACCTGAGTGGACTTGCCGGGTCACAGGCTACGTATGTGTTTAACTTTGTAAAAAACTGCCCAGTCTTTCCCCAAAGCGCCATCCTGCGTTGCATGTTTGGGGTCTTTAATTGTGGCTGTTCCAATGGACACGTACCGATGTCTCATTGTGGCTTTAATTTGATTCTTGACAGATAATGACGTTTAGAACATTTTTGTTGATTATTAGCCACTGGTGTATCTTCTCTCATGAGGTATCCGGATATTTTGTACATTTTAAAAAATTGTGTTGTCTTTTTTATTTTTGAATTAGCGAACTGGAAATATTTATTATTAAATTTAATACAAGTTATTAAAATAAATTCAAATTTTCTATTAAAATTATTAAATTACATTATAATTAATATATAATATATTAATTATAATGGTTATTAAAATAGAAATTATTATTAAATTCAATAAGTAAATTATTTATTAAACTTAAATACTGTTATTAAAATAAGTTTTTGAATTATACAAATTTTGAATTAAATGAAATTTTGAGGGAGCTCCTTGTCCCTTCTGAGTACAAGCTGTCAGACCTGCCTGGTGGTGGTGGCATCCCAAGCTGACGGAGATGGAATCCACAGAGCGTCACACTCACCCTGTGGAGCCCACAGCGCAGGGGTTTGCCGTGTGGTGGGAGTTGTGCACACATCCCTGCGGACTATTCCAGAACACATCCACCCCCTGGGGGCTGCGTGCATGCAGTCTGGCCCTCAGCCGCCACGAGTCTCCTCAAATGTTTGCAGATATTTTTCCCGTGTTTTGCTCACCTATGTGTTTTCTCAAACATTTTTTATAGGCAAATACCTTTAATTTTGAAAAGTCTAACATCACCTTTTTTTGCATAGGTTTTCTGTTTTTGATCTCAGAAACCTTTGCCTGCCCCCAGGTTGAGGAGAGAATCTCTCGTTTCCTTCTAGAAGCCGTGTGGCTTTAGCTCGTGTGTGTAGGTTGACGGTCCGTCCTGAGGAAAAGTGCATGTGACGTGCGCGGAGGCTAAGGTCCCTTGGCCCCTTTGTTCTCGGGCCGGTCGCTGGGAAGGCATCTGCGTCCCCCCTCACCTCTGCGAATCGGCGGCTCGGAATCTGCGGGCTGGTGTTTACCCGCGGCCCCTGTGTGCCTCTCTTCCAGAGCAGGTGCTCCCGGCAGTCGGTGAGAGGCCCCTCTCTCCCCATCCGATCAGGATCGCCAAGAGCCCCACTCCCAACGTCCCGAGGGTGAGCGTCGTGCTGGGAAGACCCCGCAGCGGCAAGTACGTGGCGCCCAGTAGTGGCCCCCAGTGATTCTGTCTCGGGGTTGATCCAGCGGGGCTCCGGGACGGCTTGGGGAAGCGGAGGCTCCATAAGGGCTTAGCGAGCGCCGTGCCCGGAGGTGGCGTTTCTGGGGCAGCATCGCCTGCTGTGTGAGTCCCCAACACCCCTGCCCGCAGAGCCCTGGGACGTGCGCGACAGCGATGCCCACACGGGGTGGGTGTCAGGGGCCGCGGGGTGTTGGCTGTGCTCAGGCAGAGAGCGAGATGAGCCTCTGCTCGCCAGGGCGTTGGGCGGAAGGAGCAGCCCCCCTTGCTGCGGGCCATCTGAGCGTGCTGGTGATTCCTTGTTCCCTCAGCTCCCTGGATGCAAGTGTGGATGCCAGCGAGGAGTCTGAGAAGAGGGAGGCTCCCCGTCCGCCCCTTCCAGAAGAACCTCTGCGGCGGGAAGGCCGCACGGCCCTCTTGGTGCCCCCGGGCTGCTGGCGCAGCATTCACGACTATTGCAGCCGCTTCGAGCAGCATCTCCGGGTGATCGCGCACGAGGCCGTGGGCGCCTTCAACCCCTGGCTGTTGGCCGAGAGGTCAGTACGGTGTCCTGGCCTCAGTTCACAGAGGGCTGGCGGAGGGCTCCGTCTGCTTGCCGCCTGTTGGGGTCGGGGAGAGGACACGGACCAGGCAGCAGACGGGGGCGCGGAGTTCGCGGGTGGGCTGCTCTGAATACTTGAGATACTTGAGGGGGGCGTCTTTTAGGTAAACGGTTCATCGAAAGACCTGTAAATCCACTCTTTTATTTTTTATGTATTTACTTATTTCTTTAAGGTTTATTTATTTAAGAGACAGAGCACAAGCAGGGGAGCGGCAGAGAGGGGGAGACAGAATCAGAAGCAGCTCCAGGCTCCGAGCTGTTGGCACAGAGCCTGATGCAGGGCTCGAACCCATGAGCAGTGAGATCATGACCTGAGCCGAAGTCAGATGCTCGACTGACTGAGCCCCCCAGGCGCCCCGGAATCTACTCCTTTTAAATGTGGCCCCAGTCAGATCCCTCATGGGCGTCACTTGGTTGCAGAGCTGTGGCTGCCCCGTCACTGAGCGGGTGCTGAGCTGTGGCCTGCGCCTGGACGGGTTCAGGCACGTGCAGTTAGCGCCTCTCTCATATACCAATTCCTTTATATACTTAGAGCCTTTCCCGCGCTGGCGGGCACCCAGCTCCTCACCTCCGCCCACCGCGCCGTTCGCAGAATTGCACCGGTCAGCGGTCCTCTCTGGTGCGACGGCCACAGCTTGTGTCTCCCTGGCGTCTTCCGCCTCAGACCCCCCTGCTTCCTCTTCCCAATTCTGCCACATGCCTTCTGTCCACCCCAGTCGTGGGCATCTCTCCTCTGCCCTTTCTTCCTTCCTCTCCTGGGAGGATTTTGCATCCGGCTGCCCGTCTCCCATCACGGTGGGCTCTTGTGTCCAGCCCCACGGGTTTACCCTGAGGTCCCAAGACCTCCCCTGACACGGTGCCATCCAGAACGTGGAGACCTTCGTTCTGCTTGAGCTGTGCATTTCCTTTCTGCCTTGCGTTCTGTGTTCCCGAACGCGCTGTCTCCCCAAACCCGCCTGGGCCGGTGCGGCTGACGGCGAGGTGGCGTCCACAACAGGCCGGGGCAGGCGGACCCTTCCATGATCCGCGATGCATTTTGTCTGTCGTTCTGCGCACGTAGGGCAGCGCTGCCAGAGTGTGGAAGGAGTAAGGTCTGTACGTGTCTCCCCTGGCGCCCTTGACCCTCAGGCGGCCGTGCATCCGAACGTTGCAGCCCTGCGTTCTCGCTGGGCCTCGTTCCTCACGTGGGCGCTCGCTCCCAAGGACAGGCCCGTGCTGACCGGGCCTTGGAAGAGCAGCCGGGACAGCTGGCTCGGGGCGGGCCGGGGGGGGAGCGAGCGCAGCCTTTCTCTTGCTTTTAACGTCTCTACCCTCCTCACACCCAAAAGCATGCTGTTCCCATGACGAAAAGGAGCAGGTGACATGGGCCGGGTGTAAATAGTGTGCTGGCCAGAGGGGGGCCCAGGCTGGGACGCTTTCAGGGGACGCAGACTCACCAGCGGCCGTGAGGACTTGTGGGGAGAGGGCAGGTGGGAGCCGCGTGTTTATCTCCTTCCTGAATCCGTGGCCTGGCCCCGCGTCACCGGGCCACCACACGGGAGGCGTGAAGCCGTAAAGGACGGCAGCGAGGAAAGAGCCAATGACAGAGCTGAGCGCTGGGACCAGGGATGAGGGGCGCCGGGCACCCGCAGAGGCCCCGTCCTCAGCACTGCGGAGCTGTGACCACACGCGCCCACCATGGCAGGGCCTGGGCCGCTACCCGGTGTGGCCTGAGGAGGCAACGGCCTCAACACCACGTGCACTAGAATCACATCCTGGAGACGTGAAGGGAGCGATTATGCCAGGAAACAGGTGGACACCAGAGAAAAGAAGCTTCTAGAGAGTAAAATAACGGAAATTAAAATGTGGGGAATGTAGTGAATTTACTGGGAAGCTTCAAAGGAAAATGTCCAGTCTCTCAGGAATGGAATACAGAAGCAAGAAAAGCCCTTAAAACTTAGAGGATTGTCCGAAGAATTCCCGCTCAGGTGCCAGGACGTGGGCCGCAGACCCATGGCTTCAGCAGCAGGGCCGTGTGTCTCACTGTCCCAAGGCGGGGCCGCATGCGGCGGGCTGTGCTGGCGGCCTGCTTTCTGGATCCACGGTGGCCTCTTCTCGGAGCCTGAGTGCCTGTCTGCCCCCGGGGCCGAGGCTTTGGCTGCTTATCTTGCGGGGAGACAGACGTTCGTCTCTGAGGATGGGCTCTCCGCGGCGCACATGTGAGGAGTGAGCCCACATGGCAGAAGGCACGTCGGGGCCTCGTTGTGGAAAAGGCATGTGAGGAGCACAGAAGGTTCCAGAGAATTCATTGGGCCCCTTCCAGCGTCAGAAGGAAGAATGGCTACAAGGTATCAGAACAGCCTCCCAAAATGAGCCTTGAATTCTGTGCTCATTATGTCATGTCTGCGGGTAGAATGAAGGCGAGTTCCGGAGTGCTCAGCGTCCGAGAACTTGGTTTCTGTGCCCTGCTCTGTGGAGGGAGGATGGGAGCACACCGGGCGGGAAGGTAGGAAGCGAGGCGCAGCCAGGAGCCAGGGCGTCTGACCCTGTGGGAGCACCTTTCTGTGTCTTTGGTAGTTTGGGTGAGTTAGCGACGGACGCAGAAAGCGCAGCAGAGTGAATATGGCAGTCGCTCGTGCGCACACGCACTCAGAATAATTCGGTACGGGAGCCGCATCAAAGGGGAAGGTATCTGGAAGCTGCTCGCCGACCGGAGTGGCCGGGGTCCCAGAGAAGCCGGCGGAGGCCCCCCTGTCTGGCCCTGCACCGTCAGCCTGCAGTGCAGGAGGGCCATCGTCAGACCGGGCAAGTGGGAGCCCAGGGCTTGCCAGGGTCACCTGTGAGCTCCCCTCCCATGTGGCGGGGACCCTGAGGGTGGCACTCTGGGCACGGAGGGCCCTCCCCCCCGCACAGGCAGGAGCAAGCTCGCTTTTTCTCTGCATATAAGATTGTCAGGACCAGGGGCGCCTGGGGGGCTCAGCCGGTTAAGCGTCCAACTTCGTCTCCGGTCGTGATCTCACGGTTCGTGGGTTCGAGCCCCGCGTCGGGCTCTGTGCTGACGGCTCAGAGCCTGGAGCTTCTTCAGATTCTGTGTCTCCATCTCTCTCTGACCCTCCCCTGCTCACACTGTCTCTCTCTCTCTCAGAAATAAATAAAAAACATTTAAAAAATAATAATAAAAAAAAGATTGTGTCAAGACCCAAGTCGTTTCTACACTGTTGGATACAGCATGGGACACGCGGTGGAAAGTCTGCAGGCAGCAGAGAGTCTGTGACAGGGACAAGCCCACGAGAGCCCCAGGCCCTCGCGCTGTGAGGCGTGGACACCCGCTGTGTGCCCAGAAACAGACCATGTGGGAATTTGGCGGAGAACCGGGAGCTCCACTAAATCTGAGCAGACGTTCTGAAGCCGAAAAATACCGTTTCTGAAATGAGGGGTTTGTTGGACGGGTCTGATGGCCGAGTGGCCTCCTCGGAAGAGACTCGGAGCCTCGGACAGAAGATGGCGGCCAGGCAGGTGCGGGGACGTGGATGCCGAGGAGGGAGCTCGGGTCGGGCAACACCCGCTTCTTGGTGGGGGGGCTCCGAGCGGAGGCAGCGGAGGCGTCGGCCGAGGGTCCCCCAAGCTGTGAAAGCCCGAGCACGAAGAATAAGAAACGCACTCGTAGTCACATTCCAGTGTTCTTGAAAAATGAAAGAAAATCTAAAAATCGGCTGGAGGCGGGAAGAAGAGAAAGCGGAGCAGCGGAAGCAGGGCCGGGCGGGTCTGAAGCCGCACGGGGAGGGGGGAGGAGGGAGGCTGAGGACGTCCTCGCCGTGGGGACGGTAAACAGGTGTCGTTCGGGCCCAGCAGAACCGGTCCCAGGCGGGGGGTGCAGGGAGGTGAGTGCGTGAAGCGGGGAACGTGTCCCCGGGTGCGCGTGCGGACAGCGCCCACGCAGAGTGTCCGTGCTGCTCCGAGGCCCGCGGCTCGCGTGCGAACACGGTCAGAACGTCCGCGGCCCGGCGGGAGGTCAGGGGCGGCGCTGCGGGCCGGGGCGGCCGGTACGGGAGGGGCAGAGCGCGTGACGCCCAAGCTAGCGGCAGGGAGAAGCTAAAAACCCCGCAAAGTCCAAAGGAAGGCGAGAGAGGAGAACAGACGGAAAACAGCGTCTCAGAAGGAGGAGCTCAAATGTGTCAGAGTCGCCTCCGGTGGCACCGAGCGCCGGCTTTGAGCGCCCTTGTCTCTGACGAGCTGCCAGGGCCCCTCGGGGACACGGCTGCTTGGGGGCCGGGAGCGCGAAGGAGGGGCCCGGAAGCAGGGGCCCGAGCTCAGGGGCGGCGGCCACCGTGGCGGGTGCTCTGGTTGGTGCGGGGCGCTGAGCGTCACAAGTGACCAGTTCTGAGCGATGGGGGGGCGGGGCGTCCACAGGAGCGAGTGAGGGAAGGACCGTTGCTGGCGGACCCCGGCACGTGTGATGAGCTCGCGCAGCCGTCCTCGGGGTTTACGGGGGGAGCGGCGGCCTCGCCCCAGGTGGGAAGACTCACCGTCAGCAGCGAGACGGACGGACAGACGGACACACTGAGGGGACTCGGCAGCCCCCGCGTGGCCTCGTTCCAGAGGCAAATGACCTGCGTGACCGCGAAGAAACCTCAGAGGAGCCCAGATTAGGGGACGTTCCCCAAATAAGGGCCTTGCTGTTTAGAAAGCGTCAGGGTCACGAAAGGCAGACTGAGGGATGTTTCCGGTCTGCAGGGTGAGCTGCAGAGGGGGCAGCTGGTGCTGCGGGTCCCGTGCGTGAGCGGGTGCAGCCGGGGGGCCAGGGCGCACCGTCTGTCAGCGGCCCTGTGCGGACGGTGCCCTCGCCGTCCCGGCCGCGGGGGCCTCTCACCTTGGGACTGAGTTTGCACGTGAGACCCTCTGGGTGAGCCTGTGAGGGGCGGGAGGGGCCCGCGTGGCGGCCCGCGAGGGGGGGTGAGGGCGGGGGGCCGCGTGGCGGTCGCCCTCAGCTGTCGTTTGTGTTCCAGCTTCTCGGACGAGCTGGCGGACGAGGCTCTGGGCGCCGTGGCCGCGGAGCTGCAGGACGCGTGCGAGGACCACGCGGAAGCCGTGTTCACGGCGGAGTTCCTGGAGGCCGCCGCGTGAAGGCCGTCTCCCTGGCGGGAGGCCTTGACCTCGGCTGTCGCTCCAGGCGGGGCCGCTGCCCTCGTCGTCATGGCAGCGGAGCTGGTGGTTGAGGACGGGGGTGTCTGCCGGGGCCCGGGAATCGTGACCCGCTCCGGACGTGTTGTTTTCCCGCCAGGACACTGGCGGCACGTCCCATGGGTGGTGGGAGGGCCAGGCTGCCGCCGAGCTCGCGCCCCTCCCGCCCCTCCCGTGTGCCGCGCCCGTCTCGCTCTCAGCCCTCACGGTCCCCGGTGGACGTCCGGACGCACAGAGCTCTGAACGGGCGCGCGGCTCACGTCCTGCCTGCGGCCCGCACGCCCCCCCCCCTCCAGAGCCCCGCAGAGCCCCACAGGGGAAGCCCATGAGAGCTGGGGGCGCCGGGTGCCCTCGTCCCTCCCCTCCCCTCCCCTCCCCTCCCCTCCCCGTCAGGATTCATTCACCGAGAGGAAAGCCTATGATTTGTCAGAAACGGGGAAGGCAGGTGCCTACGTTTTCTCAGCCGCCACCTGCTGAGGCCCCGCCCGAGCACAGGAGCCGCAGCGCCCGAGAATCGCGAGCGCCTTCATCACCCGCACGGACTTTTCTCCGAGTACACGTGTTTCAGGGGACGCTGTCGGCTGTCCCGTCACCCAGACCTGTGCAAAACTGGGCTTTGTTTCGTGTCTACTCTCTTAAGCATCACACGGTCTCCGAGGCACAGATGCTCCCAGGTTGCTGGAAGATCCGACGGGCGGGGCGTGTGCGCACGTGTGCGTGTGTGTGTGCGCGCGTGGTGGGGCGCCTGCCGTCTGTAGCTGGAGTCCTCGTGTGCTGGTGTCTCTGTGACTCGTAAAATAAACTCAGGACTTTAAAGTGCGGGCACGTCTGAGATGCTCGCGCCTTTCCCCGCAGACAGAGATGCGCTTCACAGAAGCCACGCGGGCACGCGCTGTCCCCGTGCCCTCAAGCAGCGGGGACGCCGAGGAGCAGGAGGCGCCGGAAGGGCCTGGAGGCCGCGCCTGTGCTCGGGGCCGCGTGGGCACCACGTCCCGGGTCCAGAGTTGGCTCAGGCGCCCTGCCTCCTGGGCCCCAGGCAGCCTGCGGGGACGCGTGTCCCTGTCCGAGGGGGCGCCCGGCCCAGCCTGCCCTTTGTTCCGAGCGCCGCCCCCCTGCCTCTGTGCGGGGCCTGCGTCCCAGCCTCGGCCCACGGGGCTCCCCGGCAGCCTCTCCAGAGACGGGGACAAGCCGCCGGCGGTCACCTGCGTCGTCGGCGAGTGCTGCGCAGCCGCGGGCGGCAGGCCCCCTCGAGCGGCCCCCAGGCCTGGTGCCCGGTCCCCGTGGTCCTCTGGGCCCCTGTGCGTCGCTCTCGGCTGCACAGCCCACTAGCGTTCCCTCTGCGTGGCCGGCGTCCCCGTGTGCGGAGACGTGACGCCTGGGCGCCCGGCCTGGGCACCTGCCTCTCTGGTCTGTCTGCTCCCAGGACGGGGTCTCCGCCCGCATGTGCCTGGCACCCGGGGGGGGGGGGGTGTTCTCCTGGGTCGGCATGAGGAGGAGGCCCCCTCCCCCGGGACAGGGTCTGCGGGGGGAGCTCCGTGCCGTGGCCTCTGCCGTGGACGCCACCGACAGCTGCAGGCCCCACGTCCGAGGCTGGTGCAGCGGGACGCCGGGTCCGAGGGCGGCCGTGAGTGGCGCAGGCATGGCCTCCGCTCTCCTCCGCGGCGGTGCTGGGGGCCCGGGAGGGAAGGTGGGGGGTCTTCCGCCTTCTCCGGGGCTTCTCTGCCGCTGAGGGGCTGAAGGAGGAGGGGGGTCTCAGCGAAGCCCTCGGGGCCAGTGGGACAAGAAGGGGCTCTGGACGGGGTCGGGGGCTTCCCAGGTTCCTGGGCTCCAGAGACACCACAGCAAGACAGTGACCGGCCTGTCACCTCCCAGGGACCTTCTCCAGATCCCCTTCCCCACCCCTGCCCTCACCTACCTTCCCCTCTGCCCCCCAGACCCCCCAGGATCTTTCCCTGCAGCCCCTCCCACACTCTCCTGGGCCTTCCCTCGGGCTGGGGAGGGGGACGCAGCTGCAGGCGGGACTGGGTGGGACCCTCGGGCCCAGTGGCCATCTCGAGGAAGGGAGAAGTCGGGGGGGGCCACGGCTCTACCTGCCCCACAGCCCGGTTTAGGGGTCCCCTGAGCCTGGGCTGACAACCCAGAGGCCCCTGCGGAGGCTGGGAGGGAGGCAACAGCCCACAACCCGCCCCCCCACGTGCTGTGCATCCTCACTTCACATGTCCCTCCTCGCCTCTCCGCACCCCTGCCCCCTGTGCCTGGAGAACCGGGCTGGTGGAGGGTCGGGATCCGTGACCTGAGCTCCCGTGGGACCTCCGTGCCTCGGTTTCCTGATCTGTGACTCGGGGTACGGGAGGATCAAGGGGAACACCTCCGTGCACAGCCTGGCAGACGGTAAGCCGTCGCTGGACCCTTGTGGGAGGGAGCACGGGCCGGCCTCACGGCCTCAGTTCCCGGGGGCCTCCCGGCCTCCCTGCCCCCCGAGGCCCCTGCTCGCCAGCCCCGGTCTCTCCCTGCCTCGCCTTCCAGCCAGCACGAGCCCTGGGCCGCCCCGACGATGGGGCCCCTGGGTCACCCCTTGGCGGGTCTGCCGGCCGCCGCCGACCGTGGCCGACCGCGCCCTCGAGGCCGAGGAAGCCCTGGCAGGCGGGGGCGCGGAGAGGCGTTCGGGGCAGAGCTACCGCGGGCCTGCGTGGGGTTCCACAGACACAGTGACGGAAGCTAACTCGCCGAGTCGCCCTCTGACCCCCAGCCCCGCCTCCACCCTCTGTCTGTGTCTCAGTCAACCCCGAGTCGGTCCTCAGGCCTCAGCAGGCGCCGCCCGTGGCAGCCACACCCCGCCGCCCTCCCTGCGGGGCTGGAGCCGGAGCACAGCCCGCAGAGGGCGACGGCCACCGTCCGCTGCGACCTGGGGCCCGGCTCCCAGTGGCCTCCGTCGCTTCCGGGGCAAACACTGAAGGGGCGATGACTAACCCGCCGCACAGGTGGGGCCAAACCCTGGTGAGATGGGGACTGAGTCGCCAGGTGACCGTCCCCTGCACGAGGTGGCCTGCAGGGCCCCGCGTCCAGCCGGCTCCTCCGCCAGCCCGGGCAGCCGGTGCCCTCGCCTCCCGCACCGGGCCCTGCTGGGCTGGACAGGCCGGTGCAGGTCCTCGCCCGGTGGCCTCAGTGAGCCCTGCGTCGCAGCCATGCCTGGGCCCCTGCTTCCCGGAGGCGTCCTCTACAGGCAGCGCCCCTGCCTGCGGCGGAGTCCCCAGGGACAGGCCCTTCCTTCCCCTCCTGAGCCCTGGGCTCTGACCCGCCGGCTCACTCAATGTCCCCGTGGCCCCGTGGCCGGACCCTGGGGAAGGGTGGCTTCCCAGAAGGGAGGCAGGGCCCCACTCCCTGAGCCTCAGGACCGCGCGGCAGTCGGGGCAGGCCTGCTGGGGGCGCCTCAGAAAGACGGGCAGTTCGTGCTGCCCGCCCGGGGACACAGGGACGGTGGGGACCAGGCCCGCTGAGGCCTGAGCACGATGGCGGGTCCGCCCCGAGCACCCTCGCCCCGGTGTCCCCTGCGTCCTCCGCATCTACGCGGGGAGCCTGCATCCGGTCCACCCTCAAGAACCCCAGCCCGAGACACATGTGTGGGGTCTGCAGGCGTGGGCTTCCCCAGGGAGGATCAGGGTCACTGCCCCGACGAGCACATGGGCACACAGGGGACCCGCGGAGGCCGGCGCACCCTGAGGCCCAGCGGGCGCGAGGCGGAGGGCCCCGTGGGCCCCGCTTGTCGGCCCTCATGGCCGCCCCGGTCATGGATTCTCTACCTGCTCCGTGTCACGTGTCTACATGCTTCCGAGTCACGAAGGAATCCCTGATGCGGGGCCACTGAGCGGTGCGGCCTCGCGAGGACAACCCAGTGTGACTTTCTGTCAGCGTGGACCCTGTCCCGGCCTCTGCAGGGAGGCGAGGCCCATGCGCACAGTGGTGCTGCACCGCGTGGCCACACCGCGAGGGGCGCTGGCGCACGTTTTAATGAGCTCACGGTCATTCCCAGCTTCAGACAAGTGTGCGTCCTAGACACACCTCCCCCCCACTGACAGAGGCCTGTGTCCCGGCTGTGCAGGGGGATTGTCACGGTGCACATGTATATAGACACGTGCACACACAGTGCACATGCATACAATACACGTGCATGCACACATACATATGATGCTGCGTGTGCACACACAAGTACACACACAGTGCACACGTATATAAGTGCACACACACATACATATGATGCTGCATATGCACACACGTACACACACACAGTGCACAACACACATCTACACATGCACACACACATCACATGGATACACCGCACGCATACACACACATCACAGGCATACACCACATGCGTACACACGCACACATCTACACGTGTACACACACACATCACAGGCATACACCACACACATACACACAGTGCACACATATACATGTGCATGCAAACATACATATGATGCGTGTGCACACAATACACATATATACACAGTGCACAACACACACACATCTACACATGCACAGTGCACACTCATACAATACACATGCATGCACACATATGCTGTGTGTGCACACACGTACACATATACACACAGTGCACAACACACATATACAATACATGTGCATACACACATACATATGCTGCGTGTGCACACACACACAGTGCACATGTATACAATACACGTGCATACACACATGATGAATGTGCACACACGCGTACACATATACATACACCATGCATACGTATACATGTGCATGCACACGTACATACGATGCTGCATGTGCACACATGCGTACACATATGCACACAGTGCACAACACGCACACATCTTCACGTGCGCACACACATATGCATACACCACACACGTACACACGCACACATGTACACCTGCACCTGTCAGCACACAGCTGGGTTCGGGGGCTCACCGCCCCTGGGTCCAGGCAGGCGGGACGCCTGGTTGAGGCGGCCCCTCCATGTCACGCTCCCTGATGTGTCCGTGTGCCTTGCACAGACTGTCGAGGGCATTAAACATTTTTTTTGAGGGAGAGACAGAGTGTGAGCAGGGGAGGGGCAGAGAGAGAGGGAGACACAGAATCTAAAAGAGGCTCCAGGCCCCGAGCTGTCAGCACAGAGCCCGACGCGGGGCTCGAACCCACGAACCGTGAGATCATGACCCGAGCTGAGGTCGAGCGCTTAAGCGGCTGGGCTCCAGGCGCTTCTGGAAGCATTTCCTCATCCCTGAGGTGGACGCAGGAGGGTTTGCTGCCCGTCTCCTGCAGAGCGCATGCGGGGCTCACGGTGGGGGGGTCAGCGGAGACCCCGACTCTGGACCCAAGGCCTGGGTCTGGTGCACGTCTGTTTCTCCCTCTTGATGCAGGAGAAGCCTCGCGCTTCCGGCTCCAGGACGTCCGGCCCGGCGCCCGGTTCCCCGCATCGTCCGCCAGCGAGGCTTTGTGGGGGTTTTACTCTGTGCAGCTCGAAACAGGGCTGCGCTCACAGTCACGGCGCCCGGCTTCCCTGCGTGTGGAACAGCGGGACGTGGCAACACGGAAAACCGCCCGCGGCCGCTCCTGCGCCACGGGGGACCGTTGCTCACGCGCCCGTGACCGCGGACCGCGCCTCTCCGGAAGGCTTCGGGAGCCCTTCACCTTGGCGGGGCCTCAGCAGTGAGCTCCGGGAATCACAGGGGCTCAGGGTCTACGCAGCTGGGAACTCAGCATGCAGCCGCCCCTCCGAGGCCCACGCCCCCCCCCCCCCCCCCCCCCCCCCCCCCCAGTGTACTCGCCAGGCCGAGGCGCCG